TCCCCTACCCTCTAAACTTTTCCTGTTTTACAGATGAAAATACTGAGGCTCAGAGAAAGGCGAAGTGGCTTGCCCACATTCCCATGAATGCGCCCACATATACTAAGTGCTTGAGTTACACTGTTAAGAATATACATGGATTGCCTAGATAATGGGGGAGTATTGCTGAGGGCTTTATAGAAACAGAATAGGGGGGAAGAAGAATCTCAAACAAAAGCAAGCAGCCAGGAAGGCAAGACATTTTGAAATTCTCATGAGAATTGGTTGAAGGACTGACTCTTTAATTAGAAAACCTGTACTGCCATATTGAAGAGAGAGATTAGGTTTGTTTGACTCTAGGAGGTAGTATAGGGTCACTGGGACACACTTATAGGGAGGCAGATTTTGGCTGAATATAAGGAAGAACTTACTTCTAAGGAAGAATAGATTTAAAACTGGAAGAAACCTTAAAAGACATTGATTCTGCCTCCCTTGGTTTCCATAAGAAGAAACTGAGGCATAGAGAATTTAAGTGGCTTGCCCAGAGTCACAGAGCTAGCTCATTTGACACAGGATTTGAAACCAGGTCTTGCTGAGACCAAGTTCAGTGCATTAACCACTACACCTTGCTGCCTTCCAAATACTTTGCTGTCTAACGATGGGATGGCAGTCTTACAACTAGATGAGTTTTCTGTTAGTGGGTTATAGACAGAGACTAGATGATCACTTAGCAGGGATATTTTATAGGGAATTTATGCTTCAGGTAAGAATTGGACTTTGAAGGCTCGTTTTTTTTTGAGGGGGGGGTTAGGCAGTGGGGTTAAGTGACTAGTAAGTGTTATGTATCTGAGGCCAGATTTGAAATCAGATCCTCCTGAATCCAAGGCCGGTGCTCTATCCACTGTGCCACCTAACTGCCCCCGAAAGCTCCTTCTTACTCTGAGATTCTGGTGAGAGTAAGGACTGGCCCAGATAATCTTTTGAAGTCTCTCCGGTAATATGTTTCTGTGGCTTTCAAAGACAGACAGACAGACACACACACACACACACACACACACACACACACACACACACACGAGTGGGATTCTTCTGGGAATAAGAAGTGCCACTTGAAAAAAAAAGTGTTACTTGAACCACTGTTTCCATCTCCCTGTTTACTAACTAGAGGCCATTTTTCCTCAATAGCTGTGATTAGAATGAAGAAAAATATTGAGGGTGCTCCCTTTCCATCACACAGAACACACCTTACTATAGAAAAGGTAATATTCATAAGTGTTAGGTTCCCAGGAGTTCCTTACTTGAATATGCATTTATGAAGCATCTGCTGTATGTCAGGTACCATGCTGGGTACTGGGGATACAAAAACAAAACAAAGCAATTGTTGCCCTCTTGGAGCCTACATTCTGTTGGAGGGGAACAACAGACACACAGCTAAGCAAGCATAATTTTGGGAGGAGATGTGTGCTCGCAACTTAAAGGGATCAGAATAGACCTTTTGTAGGAGATATCTCTTGAGCTTAAGCCTTCTAGGAAGTTAGAGATTCTGTGAAGTGAAGGCAAGAAAGGAATAATTTCAGAATTGGGTGACAGGTTATGTCAAGGCACAGACACAAGAGATGAAATATTATATAAAGAAATAACAAGTTGGCTGGTTTGGCTAGAACTTAGAGCATGTAAAAGAGGTGAAGCCATGAGAGTTTATTTAACTAATGACGATGGTGGTGGTGAAAATAAATAATAGCTGATATTTAAATAGCACTTTAAATTGGCTTCATTATATAGTGAGGAGCAATGGAGGTAAAACCAAAGCTTGGTGAGATAACCAGTTAAACTACTGTAAGTCATCCCAAACACATTTAAAAATGAAAAAGGAAGGCAAATAGATGAAAAATGTAAGTAATCTCTAAGGAATTTCATAACAGATTCCTTTCTCTATCAAAGACAGTGAAGCCACCACATTTGGACTCCACTTCAAAGTCTCACATCTACTGCATGAAGATGTAGAAATGACACCAAAGAAAACAAAGATGTCAAAGGCAGCTGAATAAAACCAGGTATAGGCAGAAAAGGACCTAGCTCAGGATGACACTCTTTTGAAAGCATTGAAGGATTGAGTCTCATGGAAGCTGAAAGACGACAGTTTATTGAGGAAATATTGACAATTATCAATCTATATGCCTACTTTTCTATTCCTGCAAAATTTTATGAAAATAATGTGGATATTTATTGGGTACATTTTTGATGAAGGTGTGAAAAAGAAACAGAAAGGTATTTGCAAATGATATTCTATAGCAGAAAACATCTTAAAAGTCCAGCGACTGAAAAGTGTGGATAATATAAGATCTTAGAGTGTTTATGATTTTTTTTTAAAAAAAGCATTTGATTCAGTAGATCAAAATGCCTTCTTGAAGGCTCCCCTGACAAGGTCTCACCCATGCAAATGTTAAAATCATGGAAGATTCCTTGCAAGATGTAACTATGGAGATAACTTTGATCCTCAAATGATTAATATCAAGCAAGCATAAAACAGGAAGATGTGTGCTCATCAAAGGTTTTTGTTACTGTCATGAAAGCTGCCCATTGTAGAGTCCATATTCAGGGGAAAAGAGCAGAATTAGAAATAGCAGATATATAGGTCTTCCAGATCTTTCTTTTGTTGTTGTTGTTGTTGTTTTGTTTTTTTGCCTAGGCAGTGGGGTTAAGTGATTTGCCCAGGGTCACACAGCTAGTAAGTGTTATGTGTCTGATACTGGATTTGAACTCAGGTCCTCCTGAATCCAGGGTCGGTGTTCTATCCACTGTGCCACCTAGCTGTCCCCCAGATGTTTCTGATTGTTGATGACGTTGTATGGATTGCATCAAGCCCTGGAATACTATAGCACATCTTGAGTGAGATCCATAAGTACTTAAAAGTTTAACCTAACCATTCACAGAAGAAAAACCAAGTGGATGATGAATGTGTTTTGTTCATAATATAATAATGCAGTTAAATGGACAACCTACAGCACTCCTAAATTTGTACGTGTATTTTGGACAGTTTTGCAAATGGATGATGAACTGGGCCCAGAATTGAATAGGAAAGAGGACTGAATTGCACTTGGAAAGTAGGCAGTCTTTTTGATAAATCTTTAATAATCCCATAAACAAAAGTCCATGTTTTTTAAACACCAACATTCTTTTAGTGGTAGTGTAAGCAAGTCATGAAATGACACAAGGCTCTAAAAATAGTACTCAGTACCCAAAGGGCAATGAAAAGATACAGAGTTGGAGTGAGCTGGCTGCCATGCATTGCAAACAAGGAATTGAACAGCAGAAGTAGTGTAAAAGATGGCATCACAAAAATGTATGACTGGGGAAAAAGTGTGGCCTTGTCATCTGGCTAGAGAGAGGAAGCCAATGGACAGTCTGTTTGCTCCACTGCTGTTTCTGTGATATCAAGAAGTCTAGAGTAGAGCCCCTAGCACACGAAGTAGGAGTGGTGGGGAGGCTGTGGCAGATTTGTGGGAGGAAGGGCCAAGACTTGCCAGAATGGGCAGGTGTATTTGGGCTGTGATCTGCATTACTGGAGTTAGGGTAACAGTTTGTAAGGCAGTTTATGTGCAGTATTTCATTTGAGTCCCAGAACAGTCGTATGGTGAATAGTTGAAATGTTGTTATTGTTCAGCGGTAATACCTTTTATAACCGTCTTTCCATGGGAAAAGTTATTTTGAGTGCCATGCAAGTGGCTTATAAAGAACTTTTGGTGCATATAACCTATTTTTACATTGGAAGACTGCCTGTATATCATGGTGCTTTGGATATATATCACCTCTGGACTATCCAGACACACTGTTGTATGGAGGTGGCAAGTTCTGTAGTTTCCATTTTCTGCTTGGAAAAAGACTGGCACAAATGGACAGATTGATGTACCAAGACTAATTTAACATAAAAAAACCAGGCTCTTCAAACCCCTATATTCCTTCCACTGGACTTTACTCTGTTTTAATTTGTATAGTAGCTACCTGTGAATGTTAAATTATTAGTGCACTTAATCTTGTCTTTCAAGAAATCCTTGATTCCTTATTTATAAACTCCTTAAGGCTAGGAACCATATAGTCAGGCTTATGAACACACTGGGTTGTTAGATGGGTTGTTAGGCTTATTTTAAAATGCCTGGGCCATAGCTAGAAGACAGACCTCCCCACCCAGCTACCAATTCCACTTAGTAGAGAGGCAGTAAACAATAGAGTGAGAATTCATTAGTGTCACTTTGGTGTTTCTGTTGTAGCAGTAGACATTTTGCATTCTTACACTGTGTGGCTAAGACTTTTTTCCTATTCGTTGAGCTATAGATCAGCATCAAGTTGTCCATGGTATAACAGGACTGTCACTGGCAGGCCAGATGCTGGTTGTTACCTTGGCTAACTAGTGACGTGAGGATGACCCATAACTATTCCTAGAATCTCATTAACATTAACTCCTGTCTTCAATCCTTTCTATATTTTTCTTTGTATTTTGCACAGAATGTAGTACGATGCTATGCACGTTGTAGGCACCGATAGATATCCATTGAATCTTTTTATTTTACTGCTGTCTGCTTTCTCACAGCATGAAATCTGGGTGTCCTATGGATCTGACACATATTGTGCTCAGCTCCTTGAGAAACCTTACCAAAGGAAAAGGAAATGATGTTTCCTGCCCCAAAGCAAAAATCCATCAAAGTTAACATAAAACATTATGTCATATATCATAGTGTGTTTATTAAATGGACTGACATATACTTTACTTGACTCTTTGGGGAAAACCAGAAGCCTAGTAGGGTGGACTGTGCGCACCACTGTTGCCCCTTATATGTTTTTTTCCCTTTTGGCTGTGGTCTCCCACGTTAAACAATGTATTTAAATGAGTCTGGTTTTGAAGTGAGTAAGCCCAGAGGGAAAAGACAACCTCTTGGCCCCTGTCATCAAAAGTTTGTCTTGGAATTGATTAATCAAATCCTTTTTCAACAACTTGCTTTTCTTCCTATTCTGATAAAATTTAGGTCCCCAAGCAATCCAGTCTACTTCAGAAGACCACCAGGTGAACAGCAGTAGCTTAAAGGTAAGACTGTCTGAATGTTGGAGGACTGCAAACTGTCATCTTAGTGAGTAATGTGCCAGCCTGGAGCATGCTGAAGATGGGGCACCTGTGAATCTGCATCTTGGTTTTCAGTGTAGTGCAGGCTTCTTGTCCCTTTGGGGATAGTTAACTGTGGACCTTAGCTTATTCTTTGGTAAAATTACCTTTTCTGTTTCATTGAGTCCATCCAGCTCATAGTGGAGAGCATGCCCTGGCTCAAGAAAGGCTCAAGTTCTAGGGAATGATAATTTCCGCTCTCCCAGTTTATGCAGTGTAGTACTTGATTCCTTATGACCTTTACCTCTGGGTGACCCAGGTGTTGGAACCTTGTTCTAGTTTCTAAGTGGGCAGTTCTTTGTGGTGATTCATAGAAAAAGTTTTGGATTCCAATTCTGGTCTACTTTTTTGTCCTCACTCTGGCTCTGACACTGAATGTGTGCCCCTAGGCAGGTCACTTAATCACCCTGTCAATTTTCTCATCTGTAAAATGGAGGGAGTTGTACTTCACACCATCTACCTCATAGGGCTGTTGTAAAACTTTGAGTGTTGTAAAACTGAAAGCATTTAAATGGTGTTAATGTGAGTCATTATCTTATATTATTGAATAAATTATGTACAAATTAAAACTTTTTCTCTGTGTCATACATATCGATCTATACATTGAAGCCAGGGCAATTCCCATAATTGTGTAAGATCTGTAGTTTATATTTGATCATTTGACTCTAACTCCTTACTTACCTCAGATGCAGTGCTATTTGTGATAATGTTGTAGAAGTCATGAGTAATGGGAAAGGGGGATAAGATTTTCTTCCCTGTACTTTATTGAGTCAGGAAGGAAGGATACCTAATGAAGGGTACAACTGTGATATATGTTTGTGTGGACCATGCAACTTGTCTCTGAACCAACCTACTTTTTAGGAGCAGCTATTTAAATAGCCACCTTTTTAAAATGTTATTTTATTTTTCTTTCTCCACAGACTTTTACCTTGGCACCTCATTCTGATGTGGTAGTGATGCTGGATTCTTTTTTCCCCACTAATTATACTGTTATCTAGTGCTGTTTTTTCTCTGTGTTGTCCACAACGATATTTTAAGAGGTTTTGTCCAATTTTCTTTTCATAGTATTTTCTGGAATAAATTACCTGGGATAGTTTTAATACATACGCTCATACCTGGAAGCAGTGACAAGCTAAATGAGCATTTGGAAGTTCTGAGCTGAGCCCCTGGCTGCTTTGCATGAGGACAAGGCTGCCCCCCAGAACTAGGGATGCTTCAGCACCTGAGATGGAGGCACCGGATTTTTCAGTTCTAGCATGGCCTTTAGGCCATTTAGGCTGTGCTAGGGAAGCTTGAGCTCTGGCTAGTCTTATTAAACTGGAAGGGCTGGGAATGCAGGCTTGTTTCTGGCCCATATTAATGGGCCATATTTTGGTCCAAGGAACAGCCCAGTTTTGCCAACTACGTCATCACTGGAAAGTTCACTAACTGGTGAGGGAATTTGGGGCCTAATGCAATTTACCAATACCATTTACGGAGGTGTGAAGAGATTGCATTTTATATCAGTGAGAGGAGTATCTGCAAGGGTGAAGTTACAGATCTTGAAATGTTAAAGTTAAGGATTGTCAATTTAAAGCTTTCAGAGGCCTCGAGGTCATCTTATCATCTCCTCATTCTGTAGGTGAGAAGACTGAGGCACAAGGAGGTAAAGTGGCCTGCCTTACGTCCAGTAAGGATATGACATGGGGTTTGGAACCAGGCTTTCCTGACTCTCCTTCGCTAACTGCCTCTTAAATAAATGTTTGATTTGCCTTAACATTTATGTCGTGGTCACACAACCTGTCTTGTTAGTGGGAGATAGTGTACATCCCTATAAAATCCCAAATCCAAAGTCAGTCACTCCATTTTGTTCTAGGCTGTGCTGAGTGCTGAGGATACTAAGAAAGGCAAAATTGCAGTCCTTGTCCTCACGTTCTAATGGAGTGCATACAAGGTATATACAGTGTCGGTGGAGGTAATTTCAGAGGGAATAACGAGGATCATCAAAGCCCTCTTGCAGAAGATAGTATTTGGGTGGAGTCTTTAAGGAAGCCAGAGTCTGAAAGGTGAAGTGAGGAGGGAGAGCACATCAGGCAGCACAAAAGCATAGTGCTGGGAGGTGGCGAGAGAAACTACAAGTTGATCAGTGTAGCTGGATGGTAGAATACATGGAGGGCAGCAATGGAAGAAAGCCAATGAGTTCTGTTTTGGGCATAGGCAGTTTAATATGCCTACTGGGGATACATTTTTGAGGTGTTCAAGAGGCAGTTGGAAATGTGTGACTACAGCTCAGGAGAAAGAACTGCATATATAAGTCTGCAAGTCATTTTCATAGAGATGGTAATTGGACTCATGGGAGTTAGCTAGCTCACCAAGTGAAGGTAGGATAGAGAGAAAAGGGAAGAGGGCCCAGGACAGAACTTTGGTGGCTTGGAGGAAGAACCAGAAAAGGAAACTGAGGGGGACTAGTTGAATAGATGAGAGGAGAGCCATGAGAAAGCAGAGTCATGAAAACCTAAAAAATAGAGTAGCCAGGAGAAAATGATACTGTCAAATGCTGCACAGTTCATTGAGAAAAGGCCATTAGATCTGGCAATTAAGAGATCATTGGTCACTTGGGCAGTTAGAAACCAGATTGCAGAGCATTTGGAATCTTGTGAGAGTTGAAGAAGTAGAGGCATTGGTTATGGATGACTTTCTCAAGGAGTTTAGCCAGGAAGGGGAATTTAGGGATATCGGACAATAAGTGGCAGAGATGGAAGGATCAAGTGAGGGTTTTAAGGAGGGGGAGACATTGGGCATATTTGTACGCAGCAGGGAAGGAACCAATAGCTAGGAAGAGTGTGAAGATAAGAAAGTGGAGATAATAGGAACAGTTTACTGGAGAGTCTGAAAAGGGATGGAGATGGGGATCGAGGGTGCATGTATGTCTATAACAGACATTTAACAAATGCTTGTTGAGTTTACTTGATGGGTTTTTGTTGGCATGAAGAGCCACTCCTTCACCTGAGAGCTTTGTGAAGGAAAATATTATGGAGGAATCTATCTGAATGGTGAGATGAAGAAGCAGAGAGATGGGAGTGCTTTAGGTGAGTGGTCTCAATTCCTTCAGTGAAATATGTGGTGAGTTAAGAGAGTGAGTGGAGCAAGTGCCGTGAGAGTTTTGAAGAGAGAGGTTTGAAGAAAGATGGGAAGGTTTGGAACAGCTACTGAAGAGAGTGGGATAGTGAATTGTTTGGGGAGGAATAGAAGGCTGCAATTAAGGCCCATTTGAGAAAAGATAACATAAATTTGTAGTGGGTCCACTCAGCTTAGTTTTGATTTCCTTTAGCTCCATTCAGTAGTATGTGCATAGGAGCAAAGGAGGTAGATGGTGGGAGTAATTCAGGGCTGGTGCTTTGCAAGGGGTCGTCAGGTAGTGCCAGGGGACAAGGGCATTGAGGGTAGAGCATAGCTGAGAGTTGAGTTGGTTCACCAAGGGGTCAAAATAGGGGAAGGTTGAAGAGTATATCCAGTGTAGGGATGCTATCTTGGAAAGAACTGAGAGGTGGAGAGATTAGAGATGATAGTGAAGATAAAGAACAGAGGTAGAGTATGTAAGACATAAGGAAAGATGGAATTATACTTAGGCAGATGTCCTTGTAGAGGGAATTACCTCTAAAACAGAAGCTTCTAGGTGAGAACCAAACCACAGAGAGATTCCATGTAGCCAAGCTGTGACTGGACTCAATATATCTCTGTACCTCAAAAAAATTCTTATTTAAAAAAACCCTCACAGAACCTTTTGTTTAAAACTGGGTGAGGTTCATCAAGTTACACTTAGTAAAAGATCAAATTTTGAAGTACTGGTGCTAGTACAGGGGCTTTTGAAAACTCAGTATCCTTGATGATAATAATTTATTATACAGTCAGTTCTACTGTAAAGTGGCATGAATTCCTGAAAATAACTGTGCTGTGCGAAATCTTAAAATAAAAACTATAGGTCTTATGGAGAAAATGGGGTTAGGAGCACAACACTCAAAAACTTTGTCAGTGACATGTAGAAAAAAATAGGAACCAAAAATGTAGTCCAGTTTTATGTGTGTTAAATGGTTAAGAAATACATTTAAAGGAGCATCTAGGTGGTGCAGTAGATAGAGCTCTGGCCTTGGAGTCAGGAAGACCTCAGTTCAAATCTGGCCTAGCTGTGTGACCCTGGGCTAGTCATTTAACCCTGATTGCCTCACCAAAAAAAAACCCCGAAACATTCATAGACCCACATGTACAAAATATTTATAGCACCTCTTTTTGTGGTGGCAAAGAATTGGTAATTGAGGGAATGCCCATCAATTGGGGAATGGCTGAACAGGTTGTGATATATGAATGTAATGGAATACTGTTGTGCTATAAGAAATGATAAGCAGGCAGATTTCAGAAAAACCTGGAAAGACTTATATGAACTGAAGCAAAGTAAAATGAGCAGAATCAAGAGAACATTGTATGATGATCAACTATGATAGACTTAGCTCTTCTCAGCAATACAGTGATCCAAGACAATTACAAAAGGCTCATGATAGAAAATGCTATCCACATCCAGAGAAAGAACTATGGAGTCTGAATACAGATTAAAGCATACTATTTTCATTTTTTTTCTCATGGTTTTTCCCTTTTGTTCTGATTTTTCTTTCACAACATGACTAATGTGGAACTATGCTTAATATGATTGTACATGTATAACCTATATCAGACTGCTTGCTGTCTCCAGGAGGACAGAGAGGAAAAAAAATTGGGAGCTCAGAATCTTTCAGAAGTGAATGTTGAAAACTATCTTTACATGTAATTGGAAAAAATAAAATACTATTAAGTGGGGGAAGAGGGAAAGAAATACATTCATGTTCCATTAAATAGTGGGGTGCCAACCACTTCAGGCTACTGCTGGAGGTTCCCAGATCAGGGCTGGGGCATCACAAGAGTTGCAGCTTGTGAGTTACTGTGAAGTGGTACCTGCTGTTTCTTATGAAATACAGAACAAATGAATATGAAATTCCCATTATGCTCAAATTGTTCCCTAATACAGCTATCATGTTGGAACAAATTGACATTTTCAAAACGAGCGTTATATCAGAACTATCTCCCTAAGGTTTTCAGAATGCTTTCCTTTGCAATAGGTAACACAAGTGCTGTTACTACCCCATTTTACAAATGAGAAAACTGAGGCATAGAGAGGTTAAGAAATTCTCCTAGGGCTGACTCAGCTAGTAAGATTCATAGGATATAGACCGAAAGCTGGAAGGGATATTAGAGGCCATTCAGGTCAGCTGCCTCATTTTACAGATGAAGAAACTGAGGTCTAGAGGGGCTAAATCATTTGTCCAGGGTCATACAGGTCATAAATACATAATAACAAGATAAGGTAATAAGTAGTAGCAGAGCTGGGATTTGAACTGGTCTAATTTGTTGGAGCTAGGACTTGAATTCCAATTTCCTGACTGCCTCTCTCCATGACCCTGACCCTGTGAGTGAATCCTTGTAAACTTAGGTGAGAAGACCAAATCTTTCACAGAGCAAACAAAAAACCAGGCATCATCAGAGATGGGTTTAGAGCAGTGTACAGTATTAATGGTTCTGTATACAAACTGAATTTTAACTATTGAAAACTTTCCTTTGTTGTATGTTTTTATTTTGTGTATTTCATCATTTTGCTTTTTTCTCCCTTTTTTATTGTTTCCTTCACACTTTGCGTTTTCTTTGCATTAAAAGTCAGACCCTCCCCCTTATTCCCAATAGCTTGAGGCTGTGAAAACTGTGCTCAGGGTCTAACAAGGGAATAAAATTGATCCGAGCAGGTTGTCAGGCCCCCAGCCTTGTCACTGGTACATAATTTAATTTATACCATCAAAGGGAAACATATGTGTATTTCTATTTTCAGAACAATAACTGGAGTCTACAATGTAAAATGTAAATCCTTTATGCCAGGGTGATTTGTTCAGTAGGATCAGGGAGTGATACTGTGTGACTGACTCTTAGCTTTTTTTTTTCCCCTCCTTTTTCCTCAGCTAAAGCCATTTCTTCTCAATTCAGGACCACTTTCTACTTACAATCAGCAGTTATGGCTGACATGTGTTATTCAGCTGGATCAGTCAGATGGTAAGAGGACTGATTGGGGGACAGGTTTTCTTTCTGTAAAGCATCATGCGCTAGTGCTACAAAGACCTAAAATGGCCCTCTTATGTGGAAAAACATTATATGGAGAGGCAAAATCTAATTTCATTGTTCATTAAATAATTTGCTTTTGAGTTTATTTCAGTTGATAACTGTGGGGATGGGAGTGTATCTTTCTAATGCCATTTGAGACACACTCAATAGCACCACCTTGAGATCACTGAGGCCCTTTGCAGTTTATCGTACTGTGACCGTGACTGAGTCAGCTAGCGAGATTGATAGGAAGTTTGGTGTCCATGGTGGGGCCTGACAGCTTATTGATGCACTCCTTTTTCCTTTCAATTTCATTTTCCTTTTTTTTTTCATTTTCCTTTTTGTAGACACTACAATCCAGACAAGCTTTTCTATGACTGTGAAAGTAGATGGTGTGACCCAAGGTGCAAGCAAGACATTTGTACATAACAAAGTTCACAATCGGACGAGGACCCTCAGCTGTGCAGGGGTATGTGCTAAAGATCCTAAATGGGAATTGAATCCTTAATTTCATCTGTTCCTTGTATATGATGTTCCATCTCCTGCCTACATGTCTTTGCCCAAGTGGTCTAGGACAAGGTCCCTTCTTACCTCTGCTTCATAGAATCCTTAGCTTCTGCCTCCTGAACAAGGCCTGTCTTGATTTCCCCGCATTATTAGTGGTATATACCACTTGAAATTACTTTGTATTTACTTGCTTACATACATATTAGATCCATGTATAACAGAGGTTCTTAATCTCCTTTACGCATTCTGGTGAAGCCTAAACACTTCTTCTCAGGATGACATTTTAAAATTTAGCATAAAGTAGAATACATAGGATTACCAAGGAAGCAAGTTATGTTGAAATTCAGTTATCAAAATGTTTTTTTAAAAAGTTGAAGTCATAGGACCCAGGTTAAGAAGCCCTTCTTTAGAAGAATTTTAAGTTTCTTGAGGGAATGTTTTGTCTTTGTCTTTGTTTCCCAAGGATTGAGGACATACTTTCCCACACTTAAAACCTTCATATTCTAATCAGTTCTAATCAACAGAATTAACTGGCTTGAGACATAAGTAGGTAGACGTACTGTATTGGCTGACATTTTTATCAGTGACTTATGTGAAGATAGAGATAGCATTCCTATAAATTTGCTGAGGCGAAGTTGGGAAGGATAGCTAACACACTGAAAAACTAGCATTGCAACATTTCTTTCAGTGAATTAGCTCTGAATCCCTACCCTGCTTTTTTTTTTTACTTGTAAAACCCCTTTTTCCATAAACTTTTTCTTCTCTTTAAGTATCCATCTTAACCCCCTTAGTCTGTTATAGACTTAAATAAATATCACTGTTACTGGCTATACAATTTATTAGCAGTGTAACAATACAAAGACATATTTAAATATTTAATGATATATTAGCTATAAGAAAGATCACAGCCTACTTCTAACCATCAGATTCAGCTGTGGATTCCTTCCCAGACACTGGTGCCATGGCCCACCATTGAATTCTCTCAGGATGTCAAGTAATCTACCAAATTTTCTAGATAGAGTTTCCCTGGCTTGTCTTCTCCAGAGGATGAGCCAAACTCTGTTCCCTCAGAAGTGGTTTCAGTCTTCACAGAAGAGGTTTTCTTAGTCCCTGCCCTCTGTGCCTTACTCTCTTTCCAGCTGTGGCAGTTAACTGTCACCGAATGATAGTTAAATTGTCTCCCTCCAGGATGCTATTTCCTGTCTTGAAGATTCGGTAACAGTATCCAGAGCCTCTGTGAAAGAGGCTGTTGAAGCTGGGCCTCCATCTACTCTGTTTGCAGCCCAGTCTGCTCTTCACCCTCAGCCTGAGGCCTTCCCTTCATGAAGAACCAGTCATTGGGCCTCTCTGTCTCTTGAAAGTTCTTAGACTGTATTTCATGATCTCTATGTCACCAGGCCGGCTGTGCTAGTTCTCCTTGATCTTTCTGGAACTTTTCACACCATTGTCTACCCTCTCCTCCTGGATATCCTTTCCTTGAACAAGTTCAGAGATACCATGTTCCCTAGTTTTGTGACCCTGGGCAAATCACTTAACCCTCCTTGCCTCAGTTTCCTCATCCGTAAAATGATCTGGAGAAGGAAATGGCAACCAGTCTAGGACCTTTGCCAAGAAAACCTCAAATAGGGTCATGAAGAGTCAGACATGCCTGAAATGACTTAAACAATAACAATTCACAGCTTGTCCTTTTTTCCATTTTTTTGGCCACAGATGTGTGTCCTTGGCTAAGTGCTCCATCTTTCTTACTGGCTTTAAATCTCTGCCCTGCTGAGCTCTGGGATAGATACAAGCCTATAGACATATTGAGGCTAAGGTTAAGAACGCTTATTCTTAATTTTAGCATAATAAAAAACCCAGCACACTTAGTTAAATAGGCCCTGGTTATTCTTCTGTAACTTTTGTTTTTGGTATAGACTAGACTATCTAATGCCGGTCAAGATACGGATTGTTTAGCTCAGGCAACTCAAGATGTTGCATTCTAATAAGGGAGACAAAATCAGCAAGGTTGGAACTAATTGCATTTATAATCAGCAGAATACATTTAGGAGAAAAGGTCAAGCTGGGGCCAATTAATTAATTGCAGTAGTTTGTTGATTGTTTAATTGTTATACTTTTAGTCCATCTGCACCCCACTGTATTAATGTATTTATGCAATGTATAGAGGCAGCATGGGATAGTGGATAGAGAGTGGATTTTTGATTCAAGAAGACTGAAAGGCTAACGGTTCAAGACGAGATTCTGGTGCACCCTGGCTCTGTGACCCTGGATAAAAGTCTCTTAATCTCTCAGTACTCTAAGCAGTTCTCTAAGACTTTAAGTTCCAGAATGGTTACTGGTTTGTGTTGGTAGAGAACTCATCGTGAGTTCTTGATGAAATCACAGGTCTATACCAAAAAACTCCCCACCTTCAGATTTATATGAATCCTAGTCTCAGAAGAGACCATCTAGTCTCATCCCTTCAACAATAGAGTCTGAGCTATAAGTTCTGTCATTTACACTTTTTAGAAAGCCACTGTTTTGTCCTTTCTTCCAAAACCTAGACTTAAGGAGATGTAATAGTAGGATGGGGGGGAGGGGAAAGGAAGGGGGAAAGGAACAAGCATTTAAATAGCACCTACTATGTGCCAGATACTGTGCACTTTACGCTTTACCAACATTGTCTCATTTGATTCTTATGACAGCTCTGTGAGGCAGGTGGTGGTGGTATCACCATTTTGCAGTTGAGGAAACTGACTTGCCCAAGGTCAAACAACTAGTTAAGTATCTGAGTCTGGATTTGAACTTAGGTCTTCCTGACTCCAAGCACAGCGCTGCATACACTTCACTACCTTGCTCCTCTCTGGAAGCTGAATGTCAGTCGTTGTGTTTCTTCTTTGCTGTTGTTTCTGCCAGTTCAGTTCTGATCCTCTACCTTCTCTTTGAAATTTGACTCTTCATGAGTCCACTTGCCTATGAAGTAGATCTTGGGGATGATCACTTGAATTAGCCAGGACTTCTTTTATTTGCAGAAATGTGCTGAAATCATTGTGGCTCACCTTGGGTATTTGAATTACACTCAGTATACTGTCGTCGTGGGATTCGAGGACATGAAAGCTCTGAAGATCCCCATCAAAGATGTGAACTTCACAGTAAGTGCGCCAGTGTAGCACACATCCCCACTTAGCTCCACTTTCCTGTGGGGCCTTTTGTAGAACTGAACTGTTAACGGTGTCTGAATTGGATTGATTCCAGCCAGCCAGAAACATCAGGAGGTGAGGGTATTTTCCAGCCTACCTGTAAATTCTCAGGTCCTGTATAAAACACCAAAGCAAATAGGACTTTGAGGAGGCAGCATTGGCAATGGAAGCTTTGGCTCCTGGACTGGAAGTTTAGTGTAAGAAGGGTAGGATTATAATTTGAGAGGAAGGAAACAAAGATTTATTGAGCACTTACTGTATGCCAGCCACCGTACTAAGTGCTGGGGATGTGAATACAAACAAAAAGCGAGACAAGATTACACACCAGACGGAGCTGAAAAGGAGAGGCATGTGTGTGGGGGGAGGGGTGTCAAGGGCCTGGCATGAAGATGAAGCTGTCCAGTGTGTCCAGCATGAGGGAGCCTGGCTATGAAATCTGAAAGCCGGGAATGGACCCAGGACGGGGGAATGAAGGACAGCTTGGGTTCCTCACAAAATGAAGGCACTCACAAGTGGGAGAAGAGGGTGGGCCTTACAGAGTGACCTTCCGTAGTTGAATGCTCCAGGATCAGTAGGCTCCAGGTTATGCGAAGTTCCAGAAAAGCCTTGGTTATAGAGTTCAGGAATAATATATTGTGTTTTTTTTTCCTAGATATTCCTTTGAGATCTTTTTACTTCCCTTTAAACTATGGTGTTTCCCTGTTGAAATCTCTGAGTGAAGAAATTAGGAATTTGATCTGCAAGTAGCTCTGAGCTCATGTTGGCAGCAGCTCTAGAGGGAAGCATAATTGACTCCCCTGGTGGCCTCTGTGGCTTTCCTATTCTGGGCAGAATCTCTGAAGGTTAGATAAAAGCATTGGAAGAGCTGTGCATAGCAATTAACCTATTTATTCCTTGAGGTGTTTTCCACCCAGCCTGCTTGGGGATTCCTTTACTCCAAAAGGATACAATTAGACCAAAAAGATTTTGTGTTGGGGGTTGTAGTGATGCAGAATGACTCAAAATATGACGTAAATGAGCTGGTTCTCTTCCCTCAAAGAGTAAAGTGAAGACTTTCCTGTAGTTTTTTAATAGCAAAAGGACTTTGAAGCTGGAGCTAGCAAATTGACTGACACCTCTCAGGGCTTAAACACAAATTTTCAGAAATCTAAATATTCCATGGGAACATACTCATTTTCTTTTCATTTCAAAACATTTCAAAACATTCATCCAAGATAATCTTTGAAGTTCAAAAGTAAAAGAAAATCTATTTCTTCTACATTCTGGTCCTGACTCTAATGTTAATGAGTTAATGTTAATGATTCTAGGCAAATGATTTCACCTCTTTGAGTCTCTCTTGGTTGATCTGCAAAATAAGTCCCTTCCTTTTCTAATATCCTCTGACTTCAGGCTGATAAGTGAGGACCTGATTTGTATTCCATGGAGTTGTGATGCTGCATTCTGATGCCCGAAGCCCAAGTGAGCACAAATAACTAGCTGTTCTTACCCTTTCATTTTGCATCCTCCCCAGGGTTGGGATACAAAGGAACACTCAGCAGAGGTGTTGGGCTCATACCCAAAGGAGCCAGTTCAGACTAACTAGCCAGCTCCCATTAAAAAGAAAGCTGCTTATTGGTACAAAGTGAGATGGAGGAAAAGGTTTTTGAAATTCAGGGTAAACGGGAAAAAAGAGGCAGTTTGGCACCGGGGCTAGAGTGCTGGCCTCATGGTGAGGAAGGTATGGGGGTTAACTCACCTCCGGCACGCCGGTTGCGGCCTAGCAGGTCTCTGAACCTTCTAGTACTCCAGCCTGTTCTATAAGCAGACTGTGAGTTGCACATTAAATGACACTTTGGATATTAACATATATTCCCTGAGAGTTCCCTCTATCAGTGAAATTCTAGGTCTATCCACCACCCCACCCCCCAAAAACAAGAAAGAAGAGAAATTTGGTGATCAGAGGATTAGCTGCAGTCCTGCTTTTTGCACTGGTGCCAAAGCGTCATGCAGTAATATCCTATTTCTGTGAAACGTCCATATAGCATAGAGCCAGTATTTTCATTTTTAGCAAGGTCTCTTTTTGCGGTAGCATCTCTGCTGTAGCAGAGTGGCTCTGTTTTCTCCATAGGTTTTTGTGATACTGCTGCTAAAGGGGGCAGCCATGTGAAGAAGTACTGTTCTATTATGCCAAGTGGCAGGATGCTGAGACTTTTGGCCAGTGCTTACTGGTTAATGAAAGAAATTATTTGTCTTCTGTAAAGGGCAGGCAGAGTTTATTTTCTGGCGAAATACTTAATGTACAAATGCTCTGAGTATATGGAAATTTAAATAATGCCACATCCACATGAAAGTTGATTTGCCAAAGATTTGCAGTGGAAAGAATGCTGAATTTGGAGTCAGAGGACCTGAGTTTTACTACCAGCCCTGCCTCTTAAAGCTCTGCAATCTTAGACAAATTGCTTCGACTTTCTGGGCCTCAGTTTCCTCATCTGTAAAATAAGGGAGTTGGTCCAGATGACCATAAAAACTTTTCGTGTTCTAGATCTGTCATCCTGTGAAATGCCATTCTTTAATTATTTTCAGCAGTTAAGATTTTTCTTTTTTTCCCTTTACAGTGGAGGACTTACAATCCATCTTTTTCACAAGTGGAAATTTGGTTCCGATTTGTCTTTGTGGTGTTTACATTCATGGTCACTGTAAGTGCTCTTCGTCTGTCAACCTGTATTTGAAAATTCTTCCAATGAAGATAGAACTAGTATAATTAGTGATTAAATAAAAAAAAACTTAGAAAGATGTAACTAAATACCAAATGATATTTTGTAATATGTTAGTAGATGTTTAATATGTCTGGTAGCAAACTGCAGTTCATTAAGGAAAAGAGCACCCTCAAGTAATAATACGGTATCTGTTAGTAAGAATTATGGTTTAATGTGGCCTTGGTTACTGGAGAGGCAGTATGGTGTAGTGGATAGAGAGCTGGCCAGAATTATCTTGGATCAAGCCCCACATCTGACATATATTGTCTGTGTGACCCCAGGCAATTAATTTAATCTCTCTTTAAGACTGTAACTTATAGAGAAGGGGCTGACCTGCACGGATGGAGGGAATTTCCTTATTTGGGAATTCTCTGTAACAGTGAAATAACAGGTCCAATCCCTATCTTCTACCTCTGTCCCCTGTAGGAAGGGTTCTTAATCTGTGCTCTGTGTACTTGTTTTTTAAGTATGATATATATAGCTTCAGTACAGGTAGTTTCCTTTGTAATCCTGTGTATTTTATTTTATATATTTTAAAACAGTATTCTGAGAAAAGACCTGTAGGCTTCACCAAATTGCCAAAGGTGCATGATACAAAAATAGGTCAAGAACCCCACCCTCTAATTATTTTTAATACTAGATTGGGTAGGGGGAGGTAATTCTTATCATATTAATGTTATGCATAATCTCAACCTGCTATAAAGGAAACATGGTGTATTTAAAATGAGCCCTCTTCAAATCTGGATCCAACACATCTTGGCTTTCTATTTGGCAAGCTTGGGAAGAGTTCTTTGGCTTGCCATGGCAAATGAGGTATTAAGTAGTGGTTTTAGAAAGTGTGCATTGCAGATTTCTTTGCCAAATTTGTTTCCTATGTCAGAAAATACGTAGGAAACACAGAAAACATTTCTAGGGAAAAGTATCTGAACTTGGAAATAACAGGTAAAAATAATGACCTGTTCTTTGAAGAAGTAAACACACAACAAATGGAAAGGGATATATTCCTTCTAGTAGAATGATATTCCCTGACACAGTAACATTTCAAGGGGTTGCAGTTGAGGACTTTGTCTTTATTATATTTTTCCCTGATATATGATGGGCAGCAGGGGTCATTCCCTAGACACATTCAGTGGTAGTGAATGTGCCTACTCCAGGTGCCACTAAAGGGAGACTTGCTGCCTGGTAGTCATGGGAAACTCATAAATTTCTTGAGGAGTGGGCGACATGGTGCAGTGGAAAGCATACTAGATTGGAAATCTGAGGCCCTGGGCTTCAAATCCATTTCAGTTCACTGCCCTGATGTTATCCATGATGGGGTCTTGCAGAAAGGCAGTGTGGTATAATGCTTAAGAGTGCTGGACTGGGAGTCAGGAAGGCCTGTGTTCAAATCCTGCCTGTGATACTTACTAGTTATATGATTCAGGGCTGGTCACTTAAACTTTTAACTTCAGTTTCCTTCACCTGAAGGGGTTGCATTCAGTGGCCTCTAGGGTCTCTTTCATCTTGAAATCTATGGTACTGTGATTCTGTGATCTCTAAGGTTCCTTCTCATTCTAAATATGTGGTCATAGGCTACAGACTTCAGAGTTGGAAAGGACCTAAAGCTGCTGTGTGAGTATGTGACAGGACTCTGTCACGTTGGATATCCCCTTATCGTAGAACTCATTTGGTGGTAGTTGTTTGGAAGTTGAGGATATGAGCAAGAGAGACCTGGCTTCTGGTGAACTCCTCCCTTCTAAGGCTTTTTGTAAGAGTAATTCTAATGAATGCAGCAATGCTCCTGGGGCCTCCTTGGTCCGAAACAATCACTTTGGCCTTCTGTACTTGTGACTAAGCCATAACCTAAGGCCTGTGCGGGTGTATCTCATTTGGCCACATTAATAGATGCTCAGTGTCCTGGTCAGACCACATCTGGAGTAATGGATGGTACGTTTTGGAGAGGATGTTGACGAGCCAGAACATCATAATGACTGGGCTCATATAGCACTTTAAGGTTTCAGAAGTTCCTTCAGCAGGGCTGTGAGGCGGGTAGTACAGCTATTACGAACTTCATTTTATAGATGAAGAAGCTGAGGCTGTACAAAAATAAGTGACTTTCCATGATCATGCAACTAGTAAGTCCATGAGGCAGCTTCAGAGCCAGGTGTCTGACTCTGATTTTATAGCTGAGCCCACTATCCCTTGTTATCCAAAGAAAGAGGATCAAAAGGACTGAAAATCATGCCACACATGAGGGGACTTGAAAGGCAGGTAGAGTGAGTTAGAAATTATATTGTAGGAAATAAGAATCCACTGAAAATTTTGATTTTGCTTTGTTTTTGATTGACATCATCATTTCTTCTTATTGGCCCAGTGCAATTGGTGCCTAATGGAAATTGTTAGAGACCGTTTTAAAAAGCAGAACAAAACACAAACCGTTGTCCTCGTAGTCTTTGAGTTTTTAATTCCATTAAATATGTCCTTTCTATGCTACATAATAGATAAGGCTATTGAACAATTTTTTTAGACTCTGGATTTCCTTACCTCTTATGTGGGGAGAATGGACTAGATTTCTGAAGTTCCTCCTAGTTCTAACATTTATGTATGCAGATGTAGTTTTGAGACTGTCATTCCCTAGCTGCAGATATCATGCTTCTTTTAATGAATCCCAAGGCCATTGAATGCAGTAGCTTTAGTATTTTTAATATGTCATATTGGTTCTACAGTTTATCTAACTATAATAAAAAATTTTAAACTAAGAATACAAACATCTCTTCTTAACCAAAAGCTACTCTTTAAAAGTGACATAACTATATTTTTATGTATTAATTTAAAATTACATTGTAAACAGGCAGAAAGAAAATGATTTTATACAGTATCCACCCTAGAGAAGCTGCATAGTGTAGTGGGTTGGTCATTTGGAGACCTCGCTCCCAGGCTTAAACTCTACTGACTTGCTGTAGGACTTTTGGTAAGTCCATTCCCCTCTCTGGGTCTGTTTCCTCAAGTCTTGAGGGAAGAGGCTGGATTAGATGATTTCTGAGGTCTGTTCCAGTTCAAACATTGTGTGTATGTAGGACTTAATGGTGGAGGGAGCACTGGTTTTGGAGTCAAGAGGCTTGAATCCCAGCCCTGCCTCATACTTCCTGTGTGACCTTGAGCAAATCACTTAACCCCCTCGGCCTTCAGTTGCCTCAGCTTCAAAAGGAGGTTATTGGGCTAGATGGTCTGTGAGGCTCCATTTAGCTCTAAATCTATGGCCTGAGGCGAAGTGTACCAGCTATGCTTCTGTTAGTGCTCCCCAAGACTGCATTAGATTTTGGGGGGAGCTGCTTTATTACATTGTTTACTGTTACTGAGCTTGAAACCCACCAAATGACAACTCATTACCCATATCCTTCAGGTTCTTTTAGTAATCTGGGATGTAGCTTGTCCAGGCCTTGTGACTTGAACTTGTTGAGGGCTGTTGGGTGCTCTCTTTCCATCTCCCCTCTTCTCTTGGGTTTCAGTTTTCTTTTAATCATTTGTGTTCAGTCCGTTCCAGTCTAAAAGTCATTTTGCTTAGTAAAGAAAACAGAAATGAAGTAAGAATTGAATTAATTCTGTTTTCACTACATTATTCTGTCCCATTTACCTTAATCTGTGGGCTCATCACATTCTTCCGTCTTCCTCTTGTCCCTAACTTAGCTGAAGCTTTACTTAGCTTAGTTCCAGTTTTAAAGTAGAAGAATGTAAATTAATTGCCACAAGGAGAACAAAAGATCTCAGAAAGCACTTCAGTGCGTTCTGGCCAAACTGAGAAAGATGGCTGCCAAAGGCATCGCTGTGGTAGACTATCCACTTTTTTGGTAAAAGCTTTTGAAGGAGGGAAATAGATGATTATGAGCAGCGCCATCTCATAAAGCAAAGAAGAGCTCTGGAGAGTAAGGCCAGTTTAAAGAAAGCCTGGCAAGATATCTAGCCAAATAAGATTATCCCAAGGGAACTCAGGGACGAAAATGGAAGGACTTCAGACAGAAGGAAAAGATTTGCAAAAGTCATTACAATGAGCTGTTTTCTCCAACGAAGACCGCGAGACTGTCACCTACGGATCTTAATATCACAGTGCTACGCTGCTTGTAGAAGAGATAGAACTGGCGTTGCAGAGAGCAAAGATAGGGGAAGCGGCTGAACTGGAAGATGTAGAGTGAGAAGATCCGTACTGGAGGGAGCACAGTTGTGAGAGCATCAAGGGCGTGAAGTCTCAGATGGAAAGATGACAAACCCAGGCCTTAATTAATGTAGGGAGAAAAAAGCGGCGACTAAAGAACATAACTACCAACTGCTCTGCCTACTTTTCCATCTATACAAAATCTATGAGAGTCGCCTATACACCAATCAAAGGCTTCTCCAGTGAGGATATTTATATGGAATAAGCAGGCTTTCATAAGCAATATTCAGCAAGGGACCACACTGTTACCAAAGGTCCCAATGTACTTACTATTTGTTATGATTAGAAAGCGTTCGATTTGGGAAAAGAAAATACCACCTTATAAGCTCTTTAACCAGGTGCCTTGTTGTATATAAACATCAATTAAGATTTCTTGAAGATATAACCCCACAAAGAACCCTATTCAACATCACTGATAATAAACATCAGATGAGGAATAAACAGATAGATGTATGCTTGTCAAAGATATTCACCACCATGATGGAGAAGACCCAGTGCAGAATCCAAGTAGAAGAGGGATTCTGTATGGATGGTGAAGTCCTCTAGATGCTCTTATTTGAAAATGAGATTGTTCTGGGCCTTGATGCAATTGGCATATTACAGAGCCTCCTGGAAGGGCTCTACATTCAGACCTATCTATTTATATTGTAAGCTCCTTGAGAAGAGGGACTGTTCCACTTTTGTCTTTGTATCAGAGGAGTTTGCTTGTCTATCCACTCAGGAAAGACCACATGGATAAAGAATGTTGCCAGCATTTTAGCATTCGTTTGGCTAGGTACACCATGAAGCTTGCCCATCAGTAGATATATGTGGGACAGACGGGACAGATGGACAGTGAGTTGAATCCAAAGTTGAAGAGGAGGGAGGAGAATAGACTGGATTGCCTTCTGAAAATTGCAAAGCTTCCTTGTTCCTTATTCCTTGCTGTTAAAGCAAAATTGCCTGCCTTTGTAATACCAACATGCTTGTGGTATTACAACATGGTAGCTAGACATGGAATACAATTATCCCTGAAGAATTAAAAACAAATATTACACAAAGGGCAGTGGAGAGGTGTATGGTGAGTGTAAGTAGTCTCCAAAATAATCCGTGAAGAACTCTGGAGAACATGACTAAAAGGTATCATCAAGTATGATAGAAAGAAAATGTGGATTGATCATATGGCAAGAGTGAAGGGTGACAGGTAGACAGCTAGAGTGTGGCATAGTACTCTCACAATATCAAGAGAAAGCAAGAAAGGCTTCTGGTTGGCAGACTTTTGAGAGATCGGTGACTTGGATTTCAATATGCATCCTGAGAGGGAGCTCCTGAATCAGGGAGATTATGGATCCACTTCAATGACATTGATTGCCTCCCCAGCCCATTCTGAGGCCGAGGGCTTTCACTAGGGCCAGTCACTTACCTCAGCTTCCACAATCCAGACCTGGTTTTTTAAAAATTTAGTTGACGGTCATCCACATATTTTTCTTCAGTTAGATTTCTCCTTTTCTCTTCTTAAGGAGAATCATTTGTGTTCCTGTCTTCAGAATTTCATTCTTGAGAGTTTCCTATACTCTTGGGTCAACTTCCCTAGAGAGTTTTAGGCCACAGAATCCTCTCTGTCTTTTCTGTGAATGCTTCAGAATTTCCTCGAACAAAATGCCGCCTGTGTATAAGATGATGCCCACTTTTCCTTTCCTTCTTCTGGCACAAACTCCAAGATGACACAGTTACTTTCTCCCAACATTGCTACCACTTCTACTGCAATAGCTCGTTTCTCCTTGTTGGTCAGTATCAGGTCTCTTCACAAAATTAGATCTTTTTTAAAAGTTCACTTCATAAAAAATTCTTATACCCACCCTTTGTGAGCTACTTTGAAAATAGCTTAGTTTGCTCATTCACAAAGCCAGAACATCCACCTTTTTCATTGATCGTGTTGGCAGTGTGGGAGATGGTATAGGTTTAGGCTTGTTAAGGTCAGTAGGACCAGCTTATTATAAAACACTGCTCTTTAAAAGTAGTCCAATGGGGAAACCTCTGCCAAGTGCTTTGAGCATTTGGAGATACTCTGAAAGGGGCATTTTGAAAATCCCTAAACTGAGGCAGGTTCTAGGTCTGTTCATCTTAGCCTTTCCTGCTGGAGCCCTGTTTCTTCTTCAAGAGAGCTGCTTGGGGAGCCCTGCAGATGGCTCTCTTGAGAGGCAAGGTGGCTCAATTAATTCAGCAATACCATGTAATACCGGCCCTGCCATTTAGCATCTGGGCTTTTGAGCAAATAGCTTCTCCTCCTTTCTTTGCCTGTTCCATCTCTGAATCAGGAATAATGATATCAGCCTGCCTCAGGAGGGAGGTGGTGAGGGGTGATTATTTTGTTCCAAGTGATTTATGTTCATGATATTTCAGGTTCTGTCTGTGTCCTTATGATAGCCATTTGTGACCATGTTAGGGGGTCCCATTAGCAATGATTTCACCATCTTATCCCCATTGTCAATTGATTACTTCAATGAATGACAGTACTTTATTTAGCCCAGGACCAAACTCAGTGAGGTCTTAGCCTGACACTCAAACCATGGATTGATTTGGGAGGCTAGAATAAGGCACTGTGCCTTTCAGAAAAGAATGACAGCTATAATAAGCACCTTGACTGATAAGATGTGAGCAAAGATGTGTCTGTTTTTAGCAGTTAACGTGAGCTGTTGGTCTGGTTTGCAGTGCCTGTTTGCACATTCCCTCCGGAAATTCTCCATGAGAGACTGGGGAATTGAACAAAAATGGATGTCCATATTGTTGCCCCTGCTACTGCTCTATAATGGTGGGTATCCCCCCCCCCCATTTCTATGACTTATTTCAACGCATCTCATAGAACCTACCATCCTAAAATTTAGCATTGGAAGGGCCCTTAGAGGTCATTTAATCTCCCACCTTTAATACCAACTCATGGGCTCAGAAATAAGATGTTCATCATATGGTTACTCAGCCTGAATCCCTGATGTGTTGCCTCTTGGTGGTTCATGTTTAGCCCGACATGTAGCTAGTAGTTATTATCCTCAACAAATGAGTGACATTTTTGGTAGTTAAAATTTGGAAGAGCTACAGACGCAGCAGTTCTAGGAATATTTGCTGAAGGTAGCCAAATGCTGCTGTCTGCTCTCCATTACCTGCTCCAAAATTGGTATGCTCCTGGTGCAGACAGCATTCTGGATTCCCATGCCTGCAGCGAGAATCCAATGGCGACAGCATACGGCACTCAGTGATTATTGCTAGAACAATCTGTTAATTTGCTTTCTGGTTTTTAAAAAAATCACAGCCTAGGATCAGCCTTGGGGGGGAAATGGAGTTGGTGAATTTTCCCCACCCTTCTCCTGTCTTCTTAATAACGATCAGAGAAAGCAACGTGGTTTAGTAGAAAGGGCTCTGAACATGGAGTCCTGTGGCCTTGGGCAAGTTACTTCTCCAAGTCTCAGTTTTGTGATCTGTAAAACGAGGAGAATAGCACTTTTCATTGACTGCTTTATCTCTGGATTGTTATGAAGAAAGTGCTTTGTAAAGCTCTTTATAAACATGAGTTATTACTGGCCCTTTTGCAATGATGCATTTTTGTATTGTCTTCCAGATCCATTCTTCCCCCTTTCCTTCCTGGTAAACAGTTGGTTTCCTGGCACGCTGGATGACCTCTTCCAGTCTGTGTTCCTCTGTGCGTTGTTACTCTTCTGGCTCTGTGTATATCATGGGATCCGGGTACAGGTGAGCAGAGGACTATCATACAGGAAGCTGTAAAAAGTTAGCCATTCATTCCTTTCCTACTGCTAAGGAGGTAGCATTTCAACATTGGCCTTTTGTCCCTCTTGCTCTGGGCTGCCATGGCTTTTCAAGGACAAGTGCATCTACAGGGACAATCTTCAGTACTCTGCTTAATGCTCTGTAAAAACTAGATGAATGTTAAATCATAATGATCTAAAATTAACTAAAGGCAAGTCTGCTAGAATTAATATCATTAATAAGAGTTTCTCTTCCTTCTTTTTGTCTCAATAGGGAGAAAGAAAATGTTTAACATTCTATTTTCCCAAATTCTTTATTGTTGGACTGCTATGGTTGGCGTCTGTCACATTAGGAATATGGCAAACGTGAGTAATTTCATCGTATGCTAAATGCAATACCCAGATGCCCCTGAGAAAGGGAGACAATCGTCATAGGTCATTTCAAAGGAACCTGCTGGAATACATTTTATATCTGTACTAAATGACTGTTTTATTCTCAGCACTAAAGGGACACATGAGATGGTGGTAGCCAGAAATGGAGAAGATCAGCTTCATTTTGGGTCTCTGTGGGGTACAAACAAAATGCTTTATTTTAGAAAAAATGTAAAACTGGTCCCATACCAGTTACTCAGGTATTTGGCTTGTTCATTGTATCTTTGGCTCTTCTTTCAGTCAGATTACTGTGGATATTTCTTTCTTAGTATTTATGCCCTTATGGAAACATAGTATAACCATGGAGTTCTGTTTTATAACTCGGGCACTAGAGATACTCTGGTAGTTGTTAGGTTGTAGAGCATGCTTTGGCCAGTGTTGTATCCAATGTAATGTCATAGCAGGTGATGTTACAGAGTTCTGAGCTCATTTTCACTATTTACTCACTTTTAGTTTTTATTTGTCTATAAGACCATTATTGTTAGCCAGTTATTCTAGACCTTTACTCTGGTTAGTCATTTTTCTTTATGGTCTTTTATTCTTCAGTGCTACTGTATAGCTGGACACATCTTTTGGGGAAAAAAGACACCAACATTGTTAAAGGGTGTCTGGAAGAATTTTCAAAATAGGCCTTGCAGATGAAACAGCCTTTAAATTGGAAACTTTAGTAAGAAAATGCTACATTTCTCACTGAAAGCCATATTTTACCATTGACTACCGGGCACCTATTTAATATTTATCTGATTGTGTGAACTTATCCTGAGTTAGTAAAGTTACTATTTTTTTTAAAATGTAAGGTGTGAGGTTTAGGATTTCTAGAAAATTTGAGATTGCTTTTAAAAGCAATTTTTAAATTTGTTGATAGTGTTGGCTTTTTAAAAATCAGATAATTTTTAAAAATATGTAATATTTTGTTTTTCCCCAATTAGACATTAAAACAATCTTTAGCATATTTTTAAAGTTTTGAGTTCCAAATTCTATTCCTCTTTCCCTCCTTTCTCCCTTCTTCCTAAGACAGAAAACAATCATGTACAACATTTTGATATTAGTCATTTTGTACAAGAAAACTCAAATAAGAAAGAAAGAAGGAAAGAAAGTGAAAAAGGGCATGTTTCGATCTGTATTGACACAGTATCAGTGCTTTCTCCGTAGGCAGGGAGCATGCTTCATCATGAGTCCTTTGGGATTGTCTTGGATCATTGTATTGCTGAGAAGAGCCAAGTCATTCACAGTTCTTCACTGTACGATATTGCTGTTACTATGTACGATGTTCCTCTGGTTCTGCTCACTTCATTTTGCATAGGTTCATATGTATCTTTACAGGTTTTTCTGAAATCAGCCTGCTTGTCATTTCTTATAGCACGATTAACTTTCCATCACAATCGTATACCACAGCTTGTTTAGCCATTCCCCAATGGATGAACAGCCGCTCCATTTCCAATTCCAAGCCAGTACAGAAAAGAGCTGCTATAAATATTTTTGTACAAATAGGTCCTTTTCCCTTTTTTGGGATGTCTTTGAGATATAGACCTAGTAGTGGTATTATTGGATCAAAGGGTATGCATAGCTTTATAGCCATTTGGGCTCAGTTCCAAGTTGCTCTCCAGAATGGTTGGATCAGTTCACAATTCCACCAACAGTGCATTAGTGTCCCAGTTTTCCCACAACCCCTCCAACATTTATCATTTTCCTTTTTTTTTTTCATACTAGCTAGTCAAAATCAGATAATCATTTAAAAATGAATAACCTAGGGCAAAGCTTAATTTAATGTCTTAAATTAATGTCTGATCTTTGTTTTTTTTTTTGTTAGGGTAAATGAATTACATGACCCAATGTATCAGTATAGAGTCGACACAGGCAATTTTCAGGTAAGTGTAGTTTGTGAAATCAGAGTTTATAAAGTAGTGTTCAGAATTGTATTATTTTAAATCGGTCTTTTGGAATGGGGTCATTTAAGTTTTGAAATAGGAAACTTCCTGAGAAAAGTGTGCAAGAAATATCATCTTCCACCTGGGCTTTTCTTTTCATTTCCCAGAATTCTTGATAGGTCATTCCTGATTTGCCAAGAAAGAGAAAAAAATTGTTTATATTCTGACCCAGTCATAACCAACTTAAAAGCAAGTTTGTTTTTTTAATTGTTCATTGAATCACTTGTTTAGTTAGGTGGAAAGGTGGGTATCTACAATTTGGTGATTTTTCACGTTGTCTCTTGGTAGCTAGGTTCCTGACGCTCATTTCTTCCTTTGGAGTGTATATACAGAATTGGGCTGGTCCTCGGTGACCCTGATTCTCCCACTCTAATCCATTTTCCATTTTACTGCCAAAGTGATTTTCCTAAAGCACAGGTCATCTCCCCACCCCCTCACTCTGTAAGCTCAAGTGACTTCCCAGTAACTCCGGGAGCAAACATAAAGCCCTCTGTTTAGCATTTAAAACCCTTCACAACCTGGTCCCTTCCTGTCTATCCAGTCTCCTTAACACCTTACTTCCTTCCATACACTCTCCAATCCAGCCACACTGGCCTACTTGTACAAAGCATTCTACCTCCAGATTATGCCATTTCACCATCCCCCTTCCTGGAATGTTCTCCCTCTTGTCCTGTTGCCTCCCTGGGTTACTTCAAGACTCATCTCAAATCCCACCTTCTACAGCAGGTCTTTGCTGATTCCTCCTACTGCTTGTACCTTCCCTCTGAAATTGTGTTCCATCTACTCTATACATGCATGATATGTACATAGTTATTTATATATTGTCTCCCCCATTAGAATGTGAGCTCTTTAAGGTCCTGGATTATGTTTTTGCCTTTTTTTGTACTCCCAACACTTAGCCCAGTGCCTGGCACATAATAAGCATTTAATAAATGCTTTTTGACTGACTAATCATAATTTTAATGACCAAGCTTGGGGCCAGAAAGACAGCTATTACACTGGAGAACAGAGACACTCCAAAAAGATCCTGATGGGCCCAAATGTTGGGCTTAATCTAATAAGATGAAATATAATAGGAATAATCATGTAAAGTCTAACCTTTGGTTAAAAAAAAAAAGCAAAACTTCCTAAGTACAAGATGGGGAAAGAAATCACTTCATCTGGAAAGAGTCAATATAAGGTCAGTTTAGCCAACTACAAGGTCAATATAAGTCAATTTAGCCAAAAACTCTTATATGATCTTTAAGAAAGGCAGAGAACATCTATGATGGAGGAGAAGCAATAGTCCTGTACTACTTTTCCCTGATCACAGCACATGTGGAATATTGCCCTCAGTCCTGGGTACCGTGTTTTTGGAAGGACAATGATAAGATGGAGCACATTCCGAGGAAAGCAGCTGGAATGTGGAAGAGATGGTGCCAGGTGAAGATCAGTTAAAGGAAATGGGGGTGTTTTACCTGGAAAATAGAATATTTCATATAATATAATATAATATAAATAGAATATAATAGAATGAGGTAACTGGGTTCAAGTATTTGAAGGACTGTCAAGGGTGAGAGGGATTAGATTGGTCTTGCTTGGATTCAGACGGCTGGATAAAAGAAAAACAGGTCTTCCTAAAAAGCCAAACTCTTTAGAAGTATAATGTGCTGACCTTGGAGGTCTTTCAAGCGAAGACTGGCTGACTGCTTGTCTGGAGTGCTAGAGAGGGGGATTTTGTTCAGATGGGAATTGGGCTATGTACTCTCTGAGCCTCCTCTGCTTTGAGATTCTGTGATTGAAAGGTTTGTGGAGACTTTTCTTCACTGAAGGATGAATTCATTTGGAAAATTGGTATGAGCCTTCCTGTACCAGGACCTTAGCCCAGTAATGGGTCAAATGAGGTCTTTGGCTACCAGAACTCATTCTTGAGGAGAGAATTTTGCTTTATATTTTATAGAGTATGCTCTTCCATTGCATAGTAGAAAGAAGGCTGTACTTAGGAGTCAGGAGACTTGAATTCAGATCAGGTCTATGTTAGCTGTGTGACCATGGATAAGACACTTCACTTCTCTGATTCTCGTTTTTTTGAAATCTGCAAGATGGGAATAGTAATATGCATACCACCTTTCTCAAGGAGGTGATTCTGAAGAAAGCGCTTTGTAAACTTTGAAGAGTTAATCGAGGCTATGATTTTCTTGCCACTCAGGCTGCAGTGCAAAAGTAAGCCACTAGGGGGCTCCAGAGTCACTGAACGATACCTTGAGAGAGAGGACCAAGCCAGAGTTTCCTGGTGATGCAAGTCCTTCTGAAGCACTTGACAGGTCTTTTATTATATTAATGACGTCAGAACTCCTGAGCACTCTTCTGAGTCCAGCCACCAAATAGCATTTCTAGCAGAAGAGTATAGCCTTTTCAGAAGAAGAACGTAGAGTATTCAAGTTGGAAAGATCATAGAAAGGGAAGAGAAGTATTTATTAAGCACCTACCATGTGCCAGGCCCCATGCTAGTTGTTTTTCAACTTTTATCTCATTTAATCCTTGCAACAATTCTGAGAGGTAGGTGTTATTATCATCCCCACTTTACAGATGAGGAAATTGAGGCAGGCAGAGGTTAAGTTATTTGCCCAGGGTCACACAGTATCTGAGGATGTATTTGAACTCAGGTCTTCCTGACTCCAGACCTAGTGCTTTATCCACTGAGCCACCTATCTGCTTCATTAGGGATTAGCTGTGTGTTTTGAGGAAGGAAGGAGATTTATAAATGGTCTGAGGAAAGGCCCTCATTGCACAGAGTGGTTGGAAGTGTGTGAGTAGTGAGCCTGAGTGGAGAGTGAAGGGGCAGAGCATTTGGAAGTGAGATGAGCTGGAAGCTGGGGAGTGGGAGCTTTTGGTCTTCTTCCCCATTGTCTGCTCTTCCTTTTTAATGCTGCTCAGTAGCACCTGGCCTAGCAGTGGCTGGGATCCTTTATTTCCTATATGCAAACCCAGCATTTGGGGTTTCTCCTTCTTACCTAAAGTGGGTAGCCTCTGTTAGTTTACAGGGTTCTCAGTTTCTGGGATTCCTTCATCTGCTACTCATCAGATCCAGAGAGCTTTGGACTCTATTTCATGTCTGCATTTTCTAAGGATGCTAACGATGTACAAAATTCCTAACATCTATAAGCATTTCTTTTTGTTGCTCTGCCCAATTAGCAGAGGGAAGCATGACATGGTTTGCCAGTGGCCATGCAGGAAACTCAGGCAACATGCCAATACAGGGTCATTATTTTTTGTGGGTTGCCCTTGGACAGTCTTAATGCCATTTTTATTGTAATGAACAGGAAGTCGTGAGGTATGGGTTCTGTTCCTGGCTCTGCTGCATAGAGCAATGTGACCTTGGAAAGTCATTGAAAGTCTCTGGGCATTCATAGAATGAAGAGGTTGGACTGGATGACCTCTGAGGGACCCAGATCTATTATCCTGCCTTCCTTTCTGAGCATCATAAGATTTGGTAATCATGGGATCCTGTTCTGAGAAAGTGATTACACTCCTGTTCCTAGGGATAGCTTCAGAAGGAGGATCACCTGAGGTTGATACGTTTAAATGACATTTTTGTTTTGTTTGTTTCCAGGGGATGAAGGTTTTTTTCCTGGTGGTAGCTGGCATGTATATTTTGTATCTTTTGTTCTTGATTGTGAGGGCATGCTCAGAACTTCGCCATATGCCTTATGTTGGTAAGTGACACTTCTCCTAAGCTTCTAAGATTATGCCTGGTGGAGTTAATGCCTGGATGGATGCAGGGTTTTCCTGAGGTGGTCATAACCTTACCATGAGGAAGACACATAGAATAGACTTCCTTAACTTCTAGGGAACCCTCAGAGTTCTAGACAGTGCCCAAATATGAAACATAGGAGGAGTCCAGAGAAAGCCCTTCTGCATGAGGAGGCCTGGGCTGACCTTTTGGACTGATGCTTTTTAAAACAGTCATTGTGACTGTGCTAAAGCTGCCACAAGTCTGCTGCTGCTTCTGTAGCATGGTACTGAGAGAGTGCTGGAACCATTTCCAAGCCTCTGCTGCTCTAAGACCAACCAAGGCTCCCTTCACTTGAATCATGATCTCACCCTTTTCAGACCCAGCTGATGTTTTACCTTTATAAAACTTAAGTGCATTGAGTAACATCCTTTCGGGACTTCAGATGAAGGAGTCCAAATTAGGAGAGTTTGTCTTGAAAGTTTCCTGGGATGGGGTAATGTTTACTGCTAAGATTGCCTAAAATTGTCATTTTTTTGGTTTGTTGTTTCCAGATCTCAGGTTAAAATTCTTGACTGCATTGACTTTCGTAGTACTTGTCATTAGGTAAGGAAATCTTTCATCCAGAAACAAAAATAACACAAGCCTTTGTTCTTTTTTATTTTCTCCTTTTGAATATTGAATTTCAACATAAAAGTTCCAGCTGAATACTTAGGGCTAAATGGTGTCATATGTGTCTGCTGGCTAGAATGTCAGGGTGTGCTGATGGACTTCTAAGTCCCTTATGCCAAGTGGGAGGGAGGAATGCCAGGTGCCAGGCAGGTGGGTGGTGGAGAGGGGAAGCCATAGCCTGCTGCCATCCATCTGGCAAAACCAAGGACATTTACCTCCCTGGTGTTTTGAATGGTTGTGGCATAGGGTGTTTTCATTCATTAAATATTTCAGGAGTTACTCTTTGTACCGTGAAGAGGAGTTATTTTTCAAAGGTTTCAATCCCAGTGGCATACATTGAACACTCCTGGCTCTTCAGAGCTCTTTAATTGTGGTGATTTCTTTTGTATTTTCAGCACTTAGCACAGTGCTTGGCACATTGGGAAGCACTTAATAATGGATTTTTCATCCACTTATTCATCCTGAATATGACTTGTCACCATATGGTCCATGGAGGGGGAGTAGAATAGGAAGGGCAGAGCTGTGGTTTCTTCAGCATAGAGATTTCCCCGTAAGGAACTTCCCTCCCTCAAAGCAGATGGGCTGTCCGTTTAGAGAGTTGCCTTGGACACTGAAAACTTTGGTGACTTGCCCAGGGTCACACAGCCAGCCAGTATGTGTCAGAGGCAAGACTTTAGCCCCACCCTTTATCACTAGGTCATGGACAAGTATACTGTCCCTGAAGATTACTTTTAAAAATCAATTCCAGATTTTGGCTTGTTCTCTTGCCAGTGGTTTTCTCATCAGGATAGAGTGCAGAAAAGAACATTATAGTTTTCTGATAGCTAGGATTCAAAGGAAGTGGATAATCACTTCTGATTCCCTTGGCCTGTAAAGATAAAAGCCATTGCTTATAAAGACACCCACATGGGAGAGTGGGGCCTCGAGTTTTAGTGTGCCCTTCTACATATAACATGCAGTATAAAGTGGTTTTGACTAAACCAATGCGGCAGCAGACAGTTTGGGGTTTGAAAGATGTCAACAGAAATTATAAATGCTGTGCTGGGATGCTCCTTAGACAAAGAAGGATTGGGGAGAGTTTGGAACAAAATAGAGGAGATTAAAGCCTTTTTTTATTCTGAAAATTGCCCTATGTAATATTTTTGATAAATAATATCATATGTAATATTTTAGGGGATGAACTACTATTCTCACCACAATTTTAGTACAGAACCTCTCTTTGCTCTTTAGGAGACATTGGAGTAGAAAAGAGTGAACTTTTCCCTCAAAATGAAATTTAAACATTATCACAGCTCTCTCGCACACACACACACACGCACTTTGTGATTTCGCTCGTGTGGGTATTCCTTACATCTCCATAAATTTGAACCTCTTAATGTTACTGTGACCAAAAACATTATCACCTGTTGCCCTACCTTAGGCAGCAAGCATCTCTGAGCTTAGCTGGTGGAATCCTCGGATATCATGTTCAGCATCTGTCTGTTCCTGGGTGTACACGCAAACATTTTCCAGCTTGAGTGGAGTTTGTGCTCTGCTAGGGTTACCTCCAGCACACAAGGATGCTGTCTTGTGTGTGTTATTCATTTACAAGCATTTACTAAATGCCTGCTATGGACAAGACCGTCAGGGGCTTACAGTCTAATGGGGAATGTGTCATGGACATCAGTAAGCTTGATAACCGGGTAGAATATGACAAAAATTAAAAGAGAAGCCTAGGGAAGAGCTCTAGAGAAATTTAAGGATGGAGAAGTCACTTTCACTTGAGAAGAATTAGAGAAGGCTTTAAGTTGGAAGGAAGTGGTACCTGAACAGGGCCATGAAAGAAGAGAAGGATGTTAGTACGCAGACATGTACAGAGTACATTCTAGTCATTGGAGATGATGGGCATGAATGCCTAGAGATGGGGAAATGTAGGACAAGATTGGGGAACAGCTAGAAATCCAGTAAGGCTGGGACATAGGTTGTTCGGAGGAACATAGTGCAGGCTAAAAAGGTAATTAATTGGGAACTAAATTTTGAAAGATATTAAGTATTAGGCTGAGAATTGTGCATTTTTCCCTAGAGACAGAGGATGATGCAGATATATTTTGAGTGGGAAAGTGACAAGTCATCTTGTCACTTTCAATAGAAAGTGACAATAGAAAGCAATAGAAAGATTATAGTGACAATTGCATAAAAGAATATTGAAGAGGAAGAGACTTGGAGGCACAGAGACCAGGAATGGTTCTGTTGGACCAGGACTGTTGTTATTATGTTAATCCAAACAAGGAGTTGAGAGACCTTGAGTTAGGGTAGTGGCAGTATGGTAGAGGGGGGATGATACATGCAAAAGATGTAATGGAGGTAGAATTGATCTTGCTTGGCTCCTAATAGAGCTATCCAAAAGTGGGGTGAGCTGCCTTAGGAGGTAGCCTCCTAATACCATAGGAAGTTTTCCTGTCACAAGCAGAGGCTGACTGTCATGTTGTAATAGGAATTCTTTTTTGTGTATGAGTTGAACTAGAAGGGCATTCCTTCTAACTCTGGAATTCTTGATTATATATAGGGAAAGAGGAAAGGCAAAAAACCAAGATAATTGAGGTATTCTTGAGCATAGTCAGTTGCTATCAACAGCAGTAAGAAAGTTGAGAATATTAGGTTTTGAGGGAAGGAAGATAAATTCCATTTCAGAAGGTTGAAGTGTTAGTAGAATATCTAGGTGGACAGATGTGTTGAGATCGAGGTGTTGGGAGAATATCCAGGTGGATGGGTCCAGTGGGCAGCTGGTGAAGTGGGCCTGGAGGTCATGGAGATACTGAAGCTAGATATCTGTAAATTCATCTGTAAAGAGGTGATAAATGAAACAGTGGGAGTGGATAAAATCATCTGAAGAGAGAGTATAGAGGAAAATGACAAGAGAGCCAAGGACGGATTCCTAGAGAATATGCAAGAGGGGGTTGGTCAATGATGTATGGCACTCAAGTAAAATTAAGGACCATAGAATTTTGTAACTAAGAAGTCATTGATAACCTTTGAAAGAGTCATTTCAGTCAGTAGTAGGGTCAAAAGCCAGATTTCAAGGGGTTGAAGAATGAGAAGGTGGTAAGGAAATAAAATAGAGAAAGGATGGGGAGATGACTTTTTTTAAAAAGCAGTTTGGCAGTAAAGGGGAAATTAGATATTAAAAGATAGCTTGAAGGGAGTAGCAGGGTCAAGGAAAGGTTATTAGTATTAGAGAGACCTGAGAAAGTTTGTAGGCAGTAAGAAAGGAGCCAGTAGAAAAAGAAATGGAAAGATATAAGAGCAAATAAATGGGTCAGTCTTAAAAGAGACAAGAGTGGATAGAATGGTGGGCACAAGTGAGGGATTAGTGTTGGCAATAGTAGAGCCACCCCATCTTCCAGTAGAGGATACAAAGACCTGGTAAAGACAATATTTGTAGTGTCTTCCTAGAAAATGAAGACTGTTAGCCTCTGTTTCAATAAAGTAGGAAGAAAGGTCATCGTCTAAAAGCGAAGCAAGTGATATGTGTCGGGGGGAGGGGAGGAAAGCGTGACAGTATAGATGTAGATATCTGTCATGGAGAAGAGGAAAGGAAAAATTCCCATGTTAAAATATATTGATCAAAATGCATGCAAGAACTGCAGATATAAAAACTTCTGACTCCAGTTCTTTACATGTTTATTTGTCTGGTTTTCCTTTTTCTTCTTTTGCAGCATTGTTATACTTTATCTAAGGTTTGGATCACAAGTGTTACAGGACAATTTTGTTGCCGAACTGTCAAATCGCTACCAGAATTATATCCTTTTAATTGAAGGTCCTTAAGTCTTTAGAACTCTGTTGTTATTCCAGTGTCTGTAGCTTGTATTTGTGAGAATAAGAAAAAAAAGTTTTTTAAATAAAATCAATTCTGGATTATCTTGAGCTAATGAGGCACATAAATAGTGCTGATGTGGACTAATTTTTTGGTCTCTTTGCTGGATATTCTGAGGGTGGGGGCAGCTAGGTGGTTCAGTGGAGAAAGCACCAGGCTCAGAGTTAGGAAGACCCGAGTTTGAATCTGGCCGCAGACACTTACTAGCTGTATGACTTTGGGCAAGTCACTTAACTTCATTTGCCTCAGTTTCCTCATCGAGCTGGAGAAGGAAATGGCAAAGCACTCCAGTATCTCTGCCAAGAAAATCCAAATTGGGTCATGAAGAGTCGGACATGACTGAAATGACTGAATAATAACAGCGATCCTGAGAGTTCCATATTTTTTCTTTTATTATTCACATGAAGGAATTTTTACAGTTGTGGCCATCATTAAGCAGTATACATCTGTCAAGTGAAACAGTGTTAGGGATAGGGACCAAACCTGTGATTTCATTGGTCTCCAAGACAAGAGAACTTTTACCAGTGTAGGTTAGCACCTTCTATGTAACTTAGAACCTCAGAAAGTTACTTGGAATATTGAGAGGTTCAGTGACTTGCCTAAAGTCGCACAGCCAGGATGTGTCAGAGGCAGAACTTGCACTCAGATTCCTGGCTCTCAGCCAGCTCTCTGTCCAGGATGACTTCTTGCCTCTCAAGGCTTAATAACTCAATTTAAAGCTGTCTGAAGCAGTTGGGATAGATTCCAAGATAACCTGTTAAACTCTTAACTAGTAATGTTTATGATGGGTTGTATCTTTATTGTTTATTTCCACAGGAAACTCTGCAGGGGCTATTTGAGGTTATTAATTGAAGGGCTTATCTTTCCTAGAATTCCTTATTGCACATAAAGGGCTGACTGGACAGCATGGTCATGAGCTCACCTCATCCCACGTGTGACTATGCCATATCGGTGCTGTTGTTTGGTTAAGAGTGGAAAGCAGCACTGAGGACAGGTTACCAAGCATAATGGAAATTATAGATAAGTTATTATTCAGTATGGCTTTAGATAGTTGTACTGCTGTGACCGCATCTTTAAAAGATGAATTAATTACCAGAGCAGTGACTGGGTTTTTAAGAACTGCTGATGGCGCTGGCTAATGCTGAGCACTTCATTTAGAGGCGTTAGCTTGGAGCGAGCATCACAGCTTGGAAGGAGAAAACTCTAGAAATGCTGTGCTGCCCCTTGAATTGTGTACTGCTAACCTTGACTGATCTCACCAGCAGAATTCTTATCTTTCTATGGTCTCCTGAACTTTTATCTCTACACTTTAGCCTTTGTGTATTCACCATCTAAGAATGCGCTCTATGGTAAGTGACCTCAGTTCCTAGCTTCTTGGCCAGGTAGCTGCAGAAGAGTCAGCAGAAGCTGAGGTAGCCACATATTTATTAAGCACAAGCACCTGGATAATTCTTTAGGCCAGTAATGAGAAGCTTTCTGGTTAAACAGAAATTTTTGTTCATTTTTTCCAGAGTCTCAGTTGAAAGATAATCCGGCCTTTTCCATGCTTAATGACTCTGATGATGATGTGATTTATGGGTAAGGTATTTTTCTCTTGTGAAATAACAGCATTGGGCATTGCAATCCTCAGTTGGCCATTTGTGCATTTCCATTGTTTTTCAGTCACTCTCAAACGTCCTCAAACTAGCAAGGCTGTGTAATGTGATTCCGTTGCTCTCCACAATTTTCCACTTTTCAGGCTATAGGCTTAAAAGTGGCTGTTTTCCCAAGAAGCAAGGTGGGCAGTCTATTTCTCTTCCTGGGCCCTGGCACAAGCTTAGATGAATGGTCACTATAAGGAGCCATTCTCTCAGGAATGTGTAGAGTTGGGTATGATGAGTTGGGAGGTGAGAGGGTAGGTCATATAAACTGGATATAACAAAAGGAGACAAAGTCTCTCTTGAAGTGAGTACAATGTAGAATGGTGAGTTATTTTGAAAGATAAGAACTAAATACATACCTGTTATTAGGGAATGCTTTCAAAGGTATCTTTGTTAACAGGAGTGACTACGAAGAAATGCCCCTGCAGAATGGCCAGGCCATTAGAGCCAAGTACAAAGAAGAGTCTGACAGCGATTGATGGAGCTCCAGCAGAGACCAGCTTGGCTGACTAGAGAAGGTGTTGGACAGTTTTCCTCAGTGCTTCAACTCTCCAGCCATCTCAAGCCATCTGCTTGAAGCTGAATATTTCCTCTCAAGAAAGGCAGTGTTCTCTTTACCTCTTTGTGTTTACTGATTTTTAAAAGACCAACCAGGACCAAAAGAAGAACTTCAATGTTGGGCAAAGGCATTATTACCAGGGTAGGGAGATGAGAGGGGGAGAGAGGCAAATGGTGAAGATTAGCAACCAAATGCCTCTTAGAATAGGGAAAATGGTTTTTATGTTAGAGTATCATTTCACTGGAGCTAAAGTAGCTGCTCCTGAACTGAAGGTTTCAAAGTCCTATGGTGTCCCAGAGCTCCTGATGCCTCCAAGTCACCCCCATTTTTAGTCTAAAGATGTATGCACTAGTCTTTTGTAGCATGTTCTCTTTATTGATGTAGAGTGGCTCCATGGAGTGTTGGAGTCAGGACAACCTGATCTGAGTCTTTCCTTGGGCACTTGCTGGCTGTGTGACCTTGAGGAAAGTCCCCTACCTTCTTAGAGCCCCTGTTAAATGAGAATCATCATGCATCTACCTCACGAGGTTGTTGTGAGGCTGGAAGGAGATGAGGTGTAGACAGTGCTTTGCAAATGCCGGATATGGTGATAAGTCATGCAGGCATATGGCAGTGTTCTCCTCTCCTCTCCATAGACGTTGTTCTCTCTTTAACTCCAAGGGAAACTTAGGAACTTATTGTGACTGCCTCATGCTGCCATTGCAGCATGCTGCTATTTGGTGGCAAACACCACACCGGGTCACTAAGTAGGGGAAGTTAAGTTATTCTCCATTTTAGAAATAAAGCATTAAGCTGAAGCTGAGCTGCCACTATCTGCTGAAGTCCAAACAATGAAATACCAATAGGAGTGTTGTGTACCTCTAAGTACACAATACAGCCTGGTAGGCTGGTTCCTTCCACCCCCTAATATGAAGAAATAGGCATTTATACCATTGATAGCTTCAGTGGCAAAGGTACTACTGCTGGGTAGGTTGTCCAGGACGTGTAAGTACAAATGGTCCCTGCACGTCCTTCCTCCTTCTCGTGTTGAGGTTGGGGTAGGGGATGGAAAGTGTGATGAGTCCAGAGCTCCATTACACAAATGAAACAATTACTAGACTAGAATGCTGAAAAGTTTTTTTCATTTATATATTGAAAAACCAATAAAATCAAACAATTTTCCTATTAGTTTTGAAACAAAGTTTGTTGAGAAAACCAATTTTGGGGAAAATCCTTCTCTCAAGAAACCCAATTGGAGCTTTGTATAAACAAAATAAATCACTGTTAGGGGTCACAGTTTTGAAATTCCAGTGCTATGTAACACAGTGTGGAAGGCACCTGAGTTTTCAACTCCCCTTTTCCTAGACAACTAATTTAAAAGCAGAGTACAGGTGTACCAGGTGTACCTTTTGCACCTTTTGCATTTCTTTTTGCATCTTCCTTTCTGGCACTAATCTTTGACCTGGTATGCACTGTAGAAAGCCCTGCAGATGATATCCTGGAGAACAGGCATAGATAAGAGTATGATGTGTGATGCATGCTTAGTAGCCCAGTACCCTTCTTCCTATGCGTACCCAAGTTCACATGTCTGTTGTGTGCTATTAGAATTATGCTCTCTTCCCTGCAGTGCTTAGACCTCAAATGTCCATGGGAATGTTCTTCATAGTGATACACTAAAATTATCTTTCTTCCTAAGTTAGCCTTTAGTGATGTGATGGTACCATTAATTACCTTTGTTGCTTAATATGGATTTCCACTTAGATTTCTGTAGTTTTTAAAGTCATTTAAAAAAATCAATGTTTGAATTAAAATTACTGCAAGATCACAAAGATGATTCGAGGTTTACATAGTTTTTATATCTGTAATGTCAGTTACTTGGTATTTTATTCTGTGTAGTCAGTGATATTAGAATAATTTTTAAAATAGAATTTTAATATATCTTCCATCAGGCCTACTTTAAAAATAATTTTAGGTAAGATAAAAATGGCTTGTGCCAGTTACTAGATTCCAGAATGTGTTTCGCTAGTTTTGTTATAAATGATGGTCATCTGTGATTTGGAGTGCCCTTGTTGTTTCTTCATCCGTGTAAATAGTGGGGTGGGGGGATTTTAAAATCCATATTTAGATCCCTGTTTTGAAAAGATCATTTTTTACTTGCAAGATGAAATTCAACTATTGACTGACATCTTTTTAATTTTATTCTTCAGGCATCAAAATCATTGAACTAAAAAACATGAGAGCGTGAATATATACTTAAAATGTTTTTTTCATATTTCAGCTGTTTACAAAAGAATGCTGTGTACCTAATGTGTACTTTGTTTTAATTTTTTTTCCATAGTCCAGCTGTTTATAAGAGAGTCCTACTTAAGGGGAAAATACTCCTTTTATTAAACCAGGCACTTTCCATTTCATTATTTGGAGTAAGATGTTTATATTCAAAAGAGTTATGTTATCCAGTCATGTAAAAATTTGCTAACAATCCAGCATTTAACACATAGAATATTTACCACATAGTAATTAAGCTGGACAATACATTTTGCTGGGAACCATTAGTAGGAAGCACATTCCTGATTTTTTTCATAGGGTTGGGGGCATGAATCCAAATGTTGCAAATACATGTCACAAAGCCAAAGAACTGGCTCTTGTTCTTCCTTAGTAACAGCCTGGATGGAGACTTTCTGGGAAAGTTGGAGAGAATTTTGCACTTTGGGCCAGTGTAAGGGTATATGCTAGAAGATGGCCATCAGCATCTCAAAGTTTGGTTTTCATGAGGGGTAGAGGATAAATTTAGCTTTCACTTAATATACACATTTATTTTTTAATCACAGCAATAAAGAACTTCTCCTTCCTGGTTTAATCATCTTTCTCCCAATAATGGAACTGGTAGCATAATAAATCACGTATTCAAGAAAGGCTGGAGTACTGCCACATTTGCAGCTGTTTACTTGATTATGTGAGACTATAGCATTTTTGCCAGTTGTAATCCATTGTAGGGACTATGTCATTGGCCCCAAATGTGTTTAGAATTATAGTATATCAATCTGAAGAGACTTTACCTCCAACACCCTCTTTTTCCTATCCCCCATCAGTTTGGCTTGTAATGCAACATGTTAAAACATTGTAAATTTTTTACTTTGAAAAATCAGTTTAGTGGTTCAGCCTGATATTTGGACTAACACTGTTTTCTAAAGTGTGCAAAGCAAACTTACAAGTACTGCCTGGGGAATTTTTTTTTCCAACTTTTCTTATCCAGGGAAGCTAATAGAAGCTATCACTTTTGCTTATGTGTAAATCTGTAGCTTTTCCTAAAGAAGGGAAGTTCTGAAATCGACCTTTTAAGTTAGATTTCTAAAAGATAAGAATCTTCTAATAATTTCTTCTCTAGGTCAAAGGGAATTTATTTTATGCAGTGCCATCTTTTTACTCTTGTTTGATCTTGATTCTAGGTGTATGTAGTGCTGTGAAATACAGAAGCGACTTGTATTACTACAAACTGACTTTTTAAATAAAATTGTAATATTTATAAAATAAAATTGTATTTAAACTTGTATACCAAAAGGAAGGATTGTATGAGTGATAAATTAATGAACTGTTATTACAACACAACTTTTGAGGAGGGTTGTTATAGTCAAGAAGTGGTGTTATGTCAAATCAGACAAATAGTTATTTGCTTTTAGCAAATCTCATTGATTTTGGGGGTGCATCCTAAGATCATAAATAAATGTTTATACATTTTGCCATCAAATTTGCATCTAAATTGCATACTTCATTACTTTGTTTCCCTTCTTTGTATATGAAATTAATTTGGCTCACTAGAGATGAGGGATTTAAATACACGTTAGGGAAAAGAGCCACCAGTCTTGATCTCATTGTTACAAATACTGACTTCAGGTTTTGTTTCGATAAAGTGTAGCTTTCCCCCCTCAAGGGTTGTTAAAATTTTAAAAACACACACTTATTCTAAGTCCCTAAAAAGTATATTTGATGTCAGGGTATGAGAAGGGACTAGGCTTTCCAGATAATCAAGGGTGTGTCTCTGTCTCTAAATTCCCACAGACCTTTACAAACTCAGGGTAAGAAAAACTAAACACTGAGCAAAATCAGCTCTTTTAAAGATTTAGAGTTGTATAGTTCTGCTTGTTAGTGCTACATAAATATTTCTACCTCTTCCTGACAGCTGAGAAGTCAAATGAATTAATTTTTATTTCATTTCTAAATGGTTTACTGTACTTGGAATGGAAAAGACACACCACTACATTCAGTAATGTTGACAGGTAGTATGTTATAGTGAAAAGCTGGCCTCAAAACCAGGAAGACTGTTGAATTGCGACCCTGGGCAGTACTCTGGGTTACTAAAACACCAAGTTGAAGAGGCTCATACTGCATTGGGAGAAGGAGTTTTGTCACCTGGTAGGCCCCTAAACACTTGAAATCACAGGTCCAGCTTCTAGCTGTAACACTACAATCATTACTTTGATTCAGAAGCCTTGATATGGTTGATCTCAGGACAACAGCTGCCCAGTGGCAGCCCATGCACATTCTGCTTTAGCAGCTCAGGAATTTCACTATTCAGCCCCATTACCACCTTATAGCTTAAGGCTTTTGAAAAATAAAATGTTAACACTTCCCCTACCCAAAGGTCAAGTAACCCCATTTCCAGGCAATGCATATCCCTTTTATTATAGTACAGTCAAATAAGTTACCACAATTGATTTTCAACTAGATGCCTAGGACCATGAATTCTGATTTTCCAGAACCTTAAAAAAACCCCCACAATTTATGAATTTTAATAATTTATTATTCTACTAAGAAAAGTATAAAGTGGGACATTAGTGTGTTATATAAATCATTTCAGAAATTAGAAAAAGTGTCATGCTGTAGCAGATTTCCTTTTTAGCACCTTTGAATACTTGGAAGTATTGAAGGGTTAAGACAAAGTAACAATACTGGATGTCAACTTAGGGTGAACAAAGTGAAGCGTACAACCCATGTAACAGTGTGTCCATTTTGGACTTTCCCCCCCTACATTTGAAAGTATAAGATACTTTTAAAACCTTTTGAAAGTTTGCTGAATTCACAGTACCGTAGATAGACCATGGAATGGAAATGGAATTGTATAGCCTCGTTTTTTTTTCAACCAAGGAAGTTAAATGGACAGTCCAAAGGCACTAACTATACAGTACATGGTCTTATTCTCCCATCTCACAGTGCAGCTTCCTGTGGAAACAACAACAAAAAAGCAAATTAAGCATTTTAAATTTTAAAAGTTGTTTCAGTGAACTACATACAATACAATTTTGGTATTTCTGTTTTATGTATAGTAAGATCATGATATATTTAAGCACCATTTCAAATCTCAACTCCCCTTTGCACCTCTTAATGTCCTCAATTCATCTTTGTTTGCTAAACCGATCTTCCCCATTTCTGGTCCCATCTCCCTCCATGACCTGGCTCCAAGAAACCACTCTCAGTGGGTCTTTGATCTCTCATCTTGACTAGCTGCTTTACATATGCCTTATAAATATACCTGGGTCTCCTCTTTGAAACAAACAAAAACAACTTTCTTTTTATTCTATTATCCCAACCTCAGGTCATCCTTGTCCCTTCTCTCTTCTCCTTCACTGCTGGATTTGTAGCAAGAGTAGCCTAGACTTGTTTCCACCTCCTCACCACCCATCTATACTTGTTTCCATCACTCTTACTGAAACTGTTCTGCCCTGATGAACTGAAACATACTTTTTTCAGTTTATTTTCCATTTTTTTTGCTTACTTTTTTTTTTGCATATGGCTAACATGGAAATATGTTTTGCATCCCTTCACATATATAATTGATGTATTGCTTGCCTTCTCAAGATAATTTGGAGCTGAAAACTTAAAAAAAACATTTAAAATTCTTTAAAAATGTAATTGGGAAATATTTAAGGAAACAAATGAAAATGTTATTTTTAAAAAAGAAATGGTTCTCCAAGATTTCTAGGGACATTACTACTAAATCTGTTATTTCTGTCTTTACCTTTGACCTTTGTGCAGCTTTTGCTACTACATTCCAATACTCCTTTCCTTCTGGGTATGACATTGAACTCCCATGGTTCTCCTATGGTCCTGACCAGTACATCCTTATCCTTCTAAAAGTGAGCGTGCCAAGAAGCAGCATGGCACAGTGGATGGAGAGCTGGCCTCCGTACAGAGTCTGAAAGACTTCGGTTGAAATCTCAGCTCTGGCACACATGGGCTGTGTGACCCCAGCCAAGCCGCTTAACCTTTCAGAGCCCTAAACAACTCTCAAGACAGAGCAAGTGCTTAAGCTGATCAGCATTGACTAGCACTGATTTGAATCATCTGAGTAATATAAAAAACCCTACAAAACTTTGGGCCAAAAGCAATTTCATCGTCTAAATACAAAGAAAGCTCTTCCATCCTTTGCAAGGGATGTAGTATTTCTAGCCATGTTGGATCCATTTGATCATAAGGCCTGTTTCCTATCATTTACTATGTTGGGTAACTGAAAGAGGATCCCTTAGTAGAAAAGGTATGAACCCTCTCATTCTAATAAAGAGTCAGAATCACGTGGCAAAAGCAAAACAAAACAAAAGAACCAGAAGTTCCCTCTACCAATGAAACTAAAGGTTTGGCCAAAAATAAATATAAATCAAATACCCCAAGGCTTTTTCCTTGGCCCTCCTCTCTATACGTTCCGTTCGATGACTTTACCTACTCTAATTGCTTCAGTTCTCTCTCCAAATCTACATCTCCAATCATCAAGCTCCCCAGAGCTCCAGGACTCTATTTCCAGCTGCATGCTGGAGATTTCTACCTTGATATCCCACCAGCACCTCAACTCAGTGTGCCCTAAACTGGACTTAGATCCCCTACTCCCCAAAAACCTGCCCATCCTCCCAACTTCTCCGCTGTCCACCTGGGACTTATCTTTGACTCATCTTTTCCTTCACTCACATGCAAACAATTACCACGTTCTACTGATTCTATCTCCATAATTTTTCTGTTGTGCATCCTCTCCCAGCTGTTACCACCCTAAATCAGGCCCTCATCTCTCACCTAGTCTATTATTAATAATTGTCTCCTAACTGGCCTTCCAGTTTCCAGTCTATCTGCCTCTCCAATCCATCCCCTTCACATTACTGCCCAAGTAATTTGCATGTATTGCTTTGAAATTTGATGCTTACCTAATCAAAAAATTTTCCTAATGAATAAAGTATAAGCCTCCTAATCCTGTTACACAAGACCATCCAAATCTGAATCATAGTTTCTCAGCAACTTAAGAGGGTCGTCTTGCTCAACCTACACCTTTTCCTAAAAACTAATGTCCTTCTACAAGATCCCTAACAAGTAGTCCTCCACCCTCCCCCTGAAGATCTCCAGTGAAAAGGAATGATAGGCAGGCCATTTCAGCTTCAGACAATTCAATTTGTGAAGAAGTTTTCCCTCATACTAAGCTGCAATCTGCCTCTTTGAGGCAAAGCAGCACATGAATTTTTTTCAAACATCTGAAAATAGCTATCATGCTCCCTTAAGTCTCTTCTCTAAGCTAAACATATGAGAGTTCCATCAAGTGATCTCCTTTTGCATGATCTCCATTACCCACAGCCTTCTGGTTGCACTTTACTTGTACCAACCTACTTTTTCCAACTTTATCTCATTCTGCTCACAGATTTATACAATATAAAAATGGAAGGGACCCTTAAAGATGATCAAGTTCAATTCCTTTTACATTTTATTTTCCAGTCTAACTGGACTACTCTTTCTTATCTTCATCCCTCTACTTATAGTATCATCCACTCCTAGAATCAATTTCCCTCCCAGTCTCTGTCTTCTGATTCTTTTTTCCCTCAAGGTTCAGCTCAAGTGCCACCTCCTCCATGAAGCCTTCCTTGAAACCCTCCCTTCCTAGCTAGAAGTATTCTGTCTCTCAAATTTCTCAGTTCTTTGCCTAGACCTTTCCATACTTGGTACCTTGTCCCACATAAGTATTGGCATATGTGTTGCTCCTCCAACCATTAAAGCTGGATATGGACTCACATATCCTAAGTACCCAACACAGTGCTTCAAACATAGTAAATTTAATTTAAAAAAAAAAAAGCTGGACAGTAGAAAAGAAAAAGAATCTGTACGGTGAAAGTTATTACATCTCTTTGTTATTTAGTAGAAGGCAAGCTGCTTGAGGATAGGGACTGTTCTGTATCCCCAGTACCTTGTCAAAATAAGTATTAAATGTTTCTTGAATTTTAAAACTCCATATATAAAGCATGTCGCATTTTCAAATAATTCAAACATTTACTCATAAAGAAATCTTAGAACATTGACTGGAAATTTATTATACAGCAATTTAATCACATAAAATGAAAAAAAAATGCTACTTATAACAAATTATAACAAATTTTCTTAACCTAATCTTTTAAACTTTCAGTAAGAATAAAAACAACAATTCTTATACTGAAAATTCTTATACAAGAAAATAAAAATAATGTCATACCATCACTGGTGTTATCCCAAAAGCAAGAGCTTGCTGTATGCAGCCCAGCTCCATTCTTCTGCATAATCACACAGGTCACTTAAGAAAAGAGAAACTTTCATTAGAGAAATCTGTATGATGATAACACATTAAGTTTTCTGTGCATCCACTTTAAATGTATTTTTTAAAAGTTCTTACCAATGTACTTGAACGGTTTCCCCAACTTGGTAAGTTGACTTAAAGTTTGTTCCACTACATTTGTGGTCCACTGATTGACTTTGCTGTGT